GTTACTTCGAACCAATGGATGCGCTCACTGCCTCCTAATTGGCTAAGGACACACTCCGCACTCAGGGCTTCGCAGCAACATCGATAAGGTTTCTGCTACGGCAGTTCCCGCATCGTCTTATCTCCATTCCTGAGGACAGGTTTGGAGGATGCCTAAGCACCCGTCATCGTGAACGATTTTGTCACGCCAGACTTATTTGATTATCACATGGAGCCAAGATGCCAGATGTTCAACACAAAACTTGTAGGTTTAAGTAGGTATAGGGTCCTGTCTGGGTGCTTTAGTTTAACGGGGTCTTTGCATGGCATTGCCAACATCTCCTTCAGAAAAAGGGTCGCATGCTGCTTCATACATTAAAGGGATAAAAGTCCGCTACAGCGAAAGCGAGCACGTGATAGGTTGGGTATCGGAGTTAACGTGCTTGAAGTAATTACGCTATTATTCGACCTTGGCTGAGTCATCAGCAATAAAGCCGACATTCAGGTCACAAATAGTCACTCGGTTCAATTTTATAGTTTTCAAGAGAAACCAACGCTTGAGTCCTGTTCTATGGAACTTTTATCTGGCTCGCCGGTCATTCCTAGCTGACTCTGCTGTCATTCTCAGGATTTGAGTAGAGGAACCTTTCTGCTACTCATGTCTCTGATGACGAATCCGCGCGGATGCCGAAACGTCAGGCGAATAAACATATTGTCCCAGCGATCGAGTCTTCTTCTTCTTCTCAATTCTTAGGATTCGCTTGAAGGAACTATTGTTACGGAACAGGCAATTGTAGATATCTTCAGATAATCCACTTACTTCAGGACTGCTGAGTGAATTCAAGAACTTTCTCGACTGCCCCATACATTGGTGGCTTCAGTGATGACCACTGGCTACTGCCTTCTCTGTAGGCTCGGAGCATACAAATCATCTGATTCCTCTGCTCAGGGCCTCGGCAATACTGGATGACCCCATTTTTATGCAAAGGGACGTCTAGCATGTGGGATTTTGGGGCAGAATAGTGGTGAACTTTTGAGCGTGTGCTAACGAAAGCACGGCCCAGCCCCTGGGCATTACCAGTCTGGGCACCACTCATCGACTAGAGTGTAGTCGTCAAACTGTTGCTTGAATACCAGATTAGCACATGCTTATGTCGATGCCGGAAACACATATTAGTGAAAAACAGCCCTTTCTGCTCAGTAGGGTTCAGCAATCTCTTCACTGTCACATCGAGAACGAAACCCAAAGAGACCAATAAGACGACTATTTATAGTCGGCAGGCCCAATCCGGCCATGCCAGTCCCCCAAAACAATTAGCAGATAGCTGCGAGACATTAACGTTTGCAGTTACGAGTAATAGCCTTGTTCTCGCGTTGATCGGCAGCTGAAGTTGGGGCGTACACTGAGACGGTATAGACGTTCGTGAAATGACCCGTCAGTCGCAAGTAGGCCGTCTGGCCATTAATGACTCCTAAGCCAGTAATGCATTTTCCGCCTGTTGCGAGGACGATCGCCACACCGTGCCTACCAGAAGAGTTGCGGTACTCGCT